AATCTACACGTTTTTTGAAAACCTCCAAGGATGGTGACTCCACCACTTCCCTGGGCAGCCTGTTCCAGTGCCTCATGGTGAGCATCTTCCTCTTTTTCCTCCTCACTGGGACCTTCCAGCCCTGAACTTGCTGGAAAAGCTTCCAACCCTCCTCCAGCAATAAGGATGTGCTTGGGAAGCTCCAAGGTCTTCTGGAGGAGGACCAGACCAACACCAAGGTTCCTCCCAAGTGCCCATTCAGTTTCTTGGCCACCGAGCGCTGCGGAAAGGCCCCGTCCGACCACCTGAGCCCTCCCAGCCGCTCGCCCCAGGGCACTTACTCCACGATGTCGTTGATGGGGATGTTGAGGAGCCGCCCGTCCAGCGTCCTCACGGCCACCGTGCAGCCGATCAGCGCCTGCAAGGCACAGAGCGGGACCCGCGGTTGCGTTCGAGGCCCTGGAGGGCAACCGTACGCCGGGGCTGGCTCTGTCCGTCCGACCACCTGAGCCCTCCCAGCCGCTCGCCCCAGGGCACTTACTCCACGATGTCGTTGATGGGGATGTTGAGGAGCCGCCCGTCCAGCGTCCTCACGGCCACCGTGCAGCCGATCAGCGCCTGCAAGGCACAGAGCGGGACCCGCGGTTGCGTTCGAGGCCCTGGAGGGCAACCGTACGCCGGGGCTGGCTCTGTCCCCTCGCTCAGCTCTTTACCTTTCCCAGGGGGATGGTGGTGACATAAATGAGGTTGTCATTGGCTCTTTTAAATCTTGGGTGGAGCTTCTCTTGGACAACGAAGGTGATGTCAGCCGGAATGATGTTTGGGCCCTAAAATTGGGGGGAAAAGAGACACGTGGGAACGATTTGGTGCAAACCAAATGATTCTATACAGGGAACGGCAACACGAGTTCCTGGCCCCTTGTTGCTGCTTTTAGATGGCTACAGAGAAGGAAAAGATATTTTCTTCTTTTAAGAAAAGAAAGAGTCCGTGCTAGAAGACTGATTAGCCAAGGAAAATCAAACCAGGCTTTGCAAAGGTGACATCAGGCGGAAAACCAGCACTCAGAATTATTTCTTTTAACCTAGCCTAAGGAAAACCCAGGCAAGAAGGGCTCCTCGGGGTGTTTCTAGTGTGCAGTCGGTCTCGAGGAACCCTGGCCCAGAACTTCACACCACGGCCATTACCTGGTGTCCTTCCTTCTCGAAGGTGATCCTGGTGCCCTGCTTCCACCCCGGCTGCACGTCAATCGTTAGGATCTTATCTCTGATGGTGCTCGTTCGACCATCTTCGTTCATCACCTGGGGGGTGCATGATCGGTTTAGAAGAGCCGAGTCTTAGAATCACAGAACCGTTTAGGGTTGGAAGGGACCTTTAGACCACCTCCTTCCAAGCCTCCTGCCATGAGCAGGGACACTTCCCACTAGAGCAGGTTGCTCAAAGCCCCATCCAACCTGGCCTTGGGCACTTCCAGGGACGAGGCATCCACAGCTTCTCTGGGCAACCTGTGCCAGGGTCTCACCACCCTCAGGATAAAATATTTTTTCTTCAGCCTGAATCTCCCCTCTTTGGGTTTAAAAGCATTGCCCCTTGTCCTGTCGCTACAAGCCCTGCTAAAAACTCTGTCCCTGTCTTTTTTATAAGCCCCCTTCAGGTATCGGAAGGCCACAACAAAGTCTCCCCAGAGCCTTTTCTTCTCCAGGCTGAACAGCCCCAACTCGCTTAGCCTGTCCTCATAGCAGAGGTGCTCCAGCTCCCTGATCACCGTCGTGGCCTCGAAAGGGAGAGGATCACAACTGCTCCGTTCATCCAGCCGCGTGTGAGACAGCAGAGTAGAGGGGGAGGATGGCTCATACTCCACCGTAAAGTGGCCACAGATACAAATGGGATCAGATCCAGTAGGAGAAACTCAGGGCTGGAACCAGGAGGCTGGGACAGTGAGACAAGTGATGCAGGTCACACAGCAGGAAGGAGACACAGCTCGGTGTGAAAATGCAATCACGGGAGCCTAAGAAACACCGCGTTCCTTCTCTACCCTCTCCAACACCTGCCCTTCCTTGCCACCAGCTTTCACATCACCTCTCGTGCTGAATTCTCTTTGGCAAGTCAGGAGAGGAAAGCACCGGTTTCGATCCTGCCGGCGTTTCCACCAGCTTTGGTTCAGATCCCTCATCGCGACACAGACATGGTGCCGGGACCCGCTGAGCCCCCTGAGGGGGACCAGTCCCAAAACCTGAAGGGCGCTGACAAAATATCATCCAGCAAAAGGAGAAGAGCCCAGCCCCAAAGTCCCCACCCTGCCGAGCGTGTCCCTACCCTGCGGGAGATCTTAATTTTCTTGGTGCAGCCATAGAACAGGTCTTCAAGGGAGAGGTACAGGTCCCGCACGACAGGCGGGTCTTGTTTCATCGCTCCTCGCCCTCGCAGCCCTCCAAAGGGCTGGGTCAACTCTGAGCCATCCTCGGCAAAGAACTCTGCATGAACGAACAGAGGACGGGGGTCACCTCATTCGTATCAGAGGGGATCCCCCAGGGTCTCCTTACCCACATCAGAAACCTCTCATCTGCTTCTGCCTGGCACCACCTGCCCCCTCCAGCTGTTTTTCTCCAGGACTGATTTTATCTTACTCTCATGTTCACAGCAGCCTTGCCAACCTGACCCATTTTTTGATGGAAATTCTCCAAGAAAAGGGTCACAACAGCAGCTGGGGAGAGCTGACAGCTTGAACACGCAACTCCAGGCCTCTCATCCAGCCGAGACTGAGGGAAATCAGGATCTAACCCCCAAGCGCTGAGGAGCAGAGTAGCTGGGCAGGGTAACATCCCCGTAAAGCTTAAAACTCAACGCCAGTGGTGGCCACATGTCCTGGTTTGAGGACCGTTGACACCACAGCATCATAGCAGCCACAGATAGGACCTGGGAGACCCTCTCAGAGCTCCCCCACTCACCCGCAAAGGGGTTGTCTCCACCAAAGAACTCCTTGAAGACTTTGTCGGGGTTGTTGTGAAACACGTAGCCGACGGTCCAGGGATTCTCGCTCCCGAACTCCGAGGGGATGCCGCCTTTGAGCCCCTCTTCTCCAAACTTGTCGTAGATGCCTCTCTTCATGGCTTAGGGAACAAGGAGGAGTTGGGAACGGCCACGCTCTCCCATGCTGGGAGGAGAGCCCGAGATCCAGACTTTGCTTGGATGGAGCCTGCAGGAGGGGGGGTTCCCCACCACCATGCGGATGGAAATAGGTGGGACAGAAGCAGGAACACATGCCAGCAGTCAGCTTGGCTGGGGGAGGACCGAGCTGATGTCACCTCCCTGTCTGAGCCAGAGAGCAGGGGTTTGGAGCTCGGCACACTTCTGGCCACAGCAGAGACCCTTCCGCCCCCTGCCCAGCTCCTCCTGCCCCTAAACTCAGTGGGAAAGAACCCGTCTCCCCACTTACGGTCGCTGAGCACATCGTAGGCCTCTGCCAGCTGCCTGAACTTCTTCGGCGCCCAAGGCTCCTTGCATTTTAAAGGGTGGTACTTCAAAGCCAGTCTCCGATAGCTACGAAGGGCAAAGGAAGGGAAGAGACCCTTCCGCCCCCTGCCCAGCTCCTCCTGCCCCTAAACTCAGTGGGAAAGAACCCGTCTCCCCACTTACGGTCGCTGAGCACATCGTAGGCCTCTGCCAGCTGCCTGAACTTCTTCGGCGCCCAAGGCTCCTTGCATTTTAAAGGGTGGTACTTCAAAGCCAGTCTCCGATAGCTACGAAGGGCAAAGGAAGGGAAATTAAATCCAGTTGGCAGCCAGTCACGAGTGGTGCTCCCCAGGGCTCAGTACTGGTGCCAGTCTTGTTTACAATCTGGATGAAGGGATTGAGTGCACTCTCAGGCACTTTGCAGGCGGCATCAAGCTGGGAGGGGGAGCTGATCTGCTGGAGGGCAGGGAGGGTCCGCAGAGGGATCTCAGTCGATGAGCTGAGCGAGGTTCAACAAGGCCAAGTGTTGGGTCCT